AGAAAGGCAGGCTTCCAAGCCGCAGACACACTGGGAAGCGTCCTTTTCAATTAGACGGTACCTCTCAGGTGGCCGGACTTCCGTTTGAGAACTAGAAAGGCAGGCTTCCAAGCCGCAGACACACTGGGAAGCGTCCTCTTTAATTAGACGGTACCTCCCAGGTGGTCGGGCCGGGCTTCCGTTTCAAAGGCAAAAACCACGTTTTTCGGGCAGCCGCGCGCGCTGCGCGCGCGCGGCAAGGCTTTTTTATTATTAATTAGTTCAACCACCCGAGAAGTCACGCCCGGCACACCTTTCCAACACACACAGAAGCCACATGAAATGTTAGGGAAGGCTGCCTAGCTGCCTGCCTGTCTGCTCGATGGTGGTCTTACGGCTGTTTTGTAAAGGCAAATCGTTCGCAAAATGTGCTCTTGCACAGATCTTACTTCAGTTGTTTTCATGTCCAGACAAAGTTTCCCTTTCTTAAATTAGCTTTGTTGGGATTTGACTGTGGGTGGAACCCACATGCTTCTTTGCTTTTCTTGCTTATCTGAACATGTAGAAACATGTTCTCCGGAGAAAACAAGCAGAATGTTTCTTCAAGTGTTGGGAAGTTCTACTCCAGACATCTACTGCGTTCCGTTTTAAGCAAGTGAATTTGGAAGAAATCTTCTCTTTTTCCGGAACAAAATTTAAAAATGAAAGATCTTCCTTCTTGGCCAGAGTATCTAAGGGTTAGAGTTTGATACAAATTGGACGAAAGCAGTGGAAAGGGTCAGCTCTGAGGGGAGGAATGGGTTGTTCTTACGAAGAACAAGCTATGGGAAGGATGGAGGTTCAACGAGAGCAACACGAAGGATACAACCACACGAAATTCAAGCGAAGAAGAAATTCTCTTAAGACAAGAAATCCAAAGCTGTGTGACCGAAAGAACAATGACACTGGAACAAATTTCTACCACCCGATGTTTTTTCACCGCTGAAACGTCGGAGTTTGTTTGCAAAACAAAGATGACTTGGCAAGTTAGCTAGTTACGGTTGTAAACTCTGGTTTCAAACTTCTAGGTAAAGTTTCAACTCGTGTATGTGTGTGTCTGGTGTTGTATGTGTCAGTGTGTGAAAATGTCTGTGCATAGTGTGTGGTTGTATATGCGGGTGCATGTATTTGTGTCTGTGTGTCTGCATGTACGTACAAAAACGACTGCAACCGGAATCAGGCAAGGTTGAAAAATGCCGTTAATCAGCACCAGGTTTTGATCATCATGACAAGACCTCGATTGTCGGTTTTTTGTGTGTCGGTGTGTTGCCGGCCACTTCTGTTGCATGTGAAACAGTTAGTTCTATGTTGCCTTGATTTCCAGTGCTTAGTTCCTGTTCTTGTTATTGAGGTTTTTGCAAGCTCTGTTTCTTCGCTTATGATCGAAAAACCGAAGATCAGAAACTGGAAGGGTTTGCGACATGATGAACAAATGCCGATTTTCCGAAACCGGTAATTGTTAAAGTGAGCAATGGATTCATGCTGCAGTAACTTAAAAAATCATGCAGGCAACCAACGACCAGGTTCTGACAGTCTAGCGCAGTGCAATGAGGAAGAACCAAAATTCCATGTGTCGGCTGACATTTGCCTACATCGCTCCTTCAAGCCGTCGACAAGGAAGCGGCAGAATACTAGGTCAGCAATTAGGCAGTTTGCCAACGAAGATGAGAACTTGTGGAGAGTGTTGGAAGCTCGCAGCAGTGATTTGCGCCTGTGCGAACTGTACATTTGGGCTTTCTGCATTTGCTGATCAGTGCGAGACAACACGGTGTTTTAGCATAACATGCATGCAAGTCTCGTCATTTCTAGAGACACTGCAACATTCTATAGTTTCGTGTTCCATCCTGGTTGGGAAAATCAGAGTTTTTCATTGCGACTGCTCCGGCGGCGTGTCGATGTTGGAAGATGTGATAGCTATGAGAAGCTGGGACGCAAAAGCCTTTGTGAGCCTGAGCCGTTCTCAAGCTCGGCCCCCGCAGGCAATCAGTTTCATCGGCGTCCTGCTCCAGTCGCTTCCCCGTGGCAGCCTCAATGGGTGTTTGTTGAAACTTCTTCCCACACCGACGAGTTCGTGGGTCGGCAAGTAGCTTCTGTGACACCGTGACATGCAAGCCCGAGCAATAGAGCGTTCATTGTTTCTACAGTATACCCCAGGCCATGTCATGTCTTGCAGCGGTATCGGAAGCTGGCAGTTGGAAGCTTTCGACCGTCAACGTCATGAGGTACGGAGACGGATCGAAGCGACAGCGGACGGAACAACCCAAGAGCCTTGGAAGCACTCTGCGCTCCTCTCCCATGACCCACGTCTGTCGTGTGCCCAGGCCACCTTGTGCCTTTTTTCGCGTTGGCCGCTGCGCCAAAGGAGATCGGCCTGGTCTTGCTTTTCTGCAAACGCACGCGTCGAGAGCTTTCCTGGTCGCTTATCGCGTGCTTTGGAGCCTGGGTCGGATAGACTCTACGCTAAGTCCACAAGTCCCGTTCTGCAGACCCTGTCAGTGCGAATTCGGAGCGTGCAGGAGCGAACTGCCCCTACTCCCACAAAGATGGAGAAGTGGCTGAAGTGCGAGCAACAAATGTGCCCTCCGCGGGAAACTCTTTGCCGGTGACTGTGGCGGTGCCTGAGCAAAGGAAGGTTCCTCAGGTTGTTCCTCCGCCTGCGGACAGACCTGTGGTCAGACGCTCGCCAGCTCCAGTGCCGGCGGATGACCCAAGCACGATGTTCAAGCGTGCCTCGGTAGCACGAGTGTCGCAGTGTGTCAAGAGAAGCTTGGGAGCACATGACAAGCCAAGGAACGCTATGCAAATTTTTCCTCAACGGGTGCTGCGTTAAAGGTGAGATGTGCACCTTTGCCCACGGAGAACATGAGTTGCAACAGCCGGCAGAAGGTGCGTGCCACACAGAAGCCGCGCTGCAACACTCTTCGCTTTAAAGGTTGCTCTTTGCGCAGAGAGCTCCTGCTAGGAGGCACATGGGTTTTCATACCTTCGACTGCACCCACAAAGATGGGTTCTAGCTGGGGCGCCCCGGCTTTGGCTTCGCGAAAGACACAGTCCAAAGCTCGGTTCGGCTCGGGTGCACCAGTGCAGCCCAGCTAGTCATGACGGCAACCTCAGCGTCTCAGCTTCCTTTAGGCTGTGTGCTTACTTTGAAGCTGGATCATGCAAAAAAGTCGGCGACTCAGTTGGCTATTGTGAAGTCGTTGTGCTCAGCCCTCGCCTTTTTGCCAGATTCACCCGTGAATTCCATCTCGCTGTACAGTTTTGCATGCATCCAGCTGATTTGGCGTTTCGAACATCGTCCAGGTCTAAGTATGCTTGGTCGCGTTTGGTTTTCTGTGGTGTTCTGGCTGTCTGTCTCTCCTGTCCCTCTCGTCTCTCGGCTCTCGTCTCTGGGCTCCCGTCTCTCGGCTCCCGTCTCTCGTCTGTCGTCTCTCGGCTCTCGGCTCTCGTCTCCAGGCACTTGACTCACTGCCTCAGTCACTTCAGTCACTCACGCCCTCACTCACTCACTCACTCACTCAGTCTCTCTCTCTCTATCTCTCCCTCTCTCCCTCGCTCCCTCGCTCCCTCGC